GATAATTCAGTCCAGGGATGGTTTCTCTGGCTTCTGTGAGCCTACAGGCATACTGTTAAAAAACAGGACATGATAGGACCTTGTTAAAAAATTTGTATTGTCTTTGCTTCTCTTGGGAACTTAAGTAGACAGTAAGGAAAAATCATGTACACGTTATAGCCAAAGTCAAAATTCCAGTTAATAATAAGACTAGTCAACAAGACTTAAACATTAGCAAGGGAAGTCTGCCAAAGGTTAACTCTTGCCAAAAACAAAATGAAACAGTTTGCTCATTAGCTGAGCTTAAAAATCTCCCCCATAGGTTTGAGGTGTTAACAATGGCAAGTTGTAGGTGCTAATTTGGTGGCAATGTAGCAGATTTCTGTTTTCTTCTAGCTAATGTTAAAAGTGAAATGTCAAATTATTTCCAGCGTTTAGCTGGATTTTGAGTTTTAGGCATTATATTTGCTAATAACTACCAAAGAGAAGGTGAAAGATTTTCTGTATTAATGACTCTCTGACTGAGACTTATAATGGCGATCCAAAGAAATGTTAAAACTTTTTATTACAGAAAAATTCAAAGATAAAAGTAGGGAGCATAGTGAACGTCCATGGCTCCATCACCCAGCTGCAACAATAATGAACTCATGGTCAGTCTTGTTGTGTTTATAACACGTACCCATTCCCTCTGCCTCAGAGTATTTTGAAGCAAATTCCAGGCATCTTATAATTTTATCTGTAAATATTTTAGTATGTACCTCTAAAATCACAGACTCTTCTTAAATATAACCGCAATGCCATCATCACAGCCAAAGAAAATGATTCCTTTTACTATGATCGAATAGTCAGTATTCACATTTTTCAATTATCTTAGATATTTTCAATTCCTTGTTTGAATCAGGATCCAAGTAAAATTCACACCGCACCACTGGTTATTATGTCTCTTCATTTTCTTTTAATCTTTTGGATCCCTCTCCATCTTTTGCTATTTTTTGCCTTGCAATTTTTTGTTGCAGAAACCTTGTCATATGGAGTTTTCATTTTGGTTTGCTTTTTACTAAATCATATCAATTTATATCCTTCCTTAACTTTAAGGATTGAAAACAAGTTACACTTTTCTTTTTAAAAACGAAGCATGTATTTTTGGAAATAATAGCCTGAAATCCCACATCTACTGCCAATGCAATGATAACAATAACAACTATCATTCATAAACACCTTATATTTGCTAAGCACTTTAAATGCATTCTCATTTTAACCACATGGTAACCTAGAAGGAAAGCACAAGAAGGTTAAAAGACTTTTCCAAGGCCACGCTGCTAAAATTAAGATGCTTGCTCAGGCCTTTCTAGTTCTATTGTTCATGCACAGTAGGACCAGAGAGAGGTCAGTGTTGGAGAGTTGCCTAGGCCCAGAGTCCTGGAATATTGCTAGCAGAAAAGTTCTGTCCTTTATGTCATTCAGCCATCTGCTGGGTGAGTCAGCAGCATATGATGAGTGCCTCTGACTGGGACCTTCTGAGGAATCACAAAGAATCGAAAGCCCATGACCCTACCCTTAAAGGACTTTGACTTCGACCAGCAATGCACCCTTGAAAAAAACACAAGGTGCAAAGCCATTAAAACATCTAGGAGGAAATGATGACACGGGATAACTTAGCAGGAATAAGGGGACCAGGTGGGTGCATGCCCCAAGGGCTTGCACTGCATCAGGGAAGGATCAGTCAGGGCGCTCCGCAGAAAAAGCAGGCATGATGAAGGATTTTAAAGAATAGCAGAAAGATCATGGGGACAGGAGATTGAGACCATCCTGGCTAACATGGTGAAACCCCATCTCTACTAAAAATACGAAAAATTGGCCAGGCATGGTGGCATGCACCTGTAGTGCCAGCTACTCAGGAGGCTGAGGCAGGAGAATCGCTTAAGCCCAGGAGGCGGAGGTTGCAGTGAGCAGAGATTGTGCCACTGCACTCTAGCCAAGGAGACAGAGCAAGACTCCATCTCAAAAAAAAAAAGGGGGCAGGAAAATGAAGAAATGCTTATCTCTGCTTCCTACCATGCTGATTTATGAGACCACAGACAGGATCTTTGCCTTTTGGTTGAGTAAAATATAGGTTTCCAGGTCCTATAAGTAAACATGTAGACCCTTGTCCAAACTTTCCTCCCAGATTTTCCTTATCCTACATCACCTCCCTGCAATTAGAACAAGATTGAAGATGTTTCTGAATAGCACGTTTCAGAATACTTTTTAGAAAAAAGAAAAAAAGGCTTCTGTAATAACTACCTCATAGCATCATTGAGGATGAAGTAATAATGACAAAGTACGTAAGACAGTATCTTGTATATGTTAAATGCGATATATAACTGTTCATTTAAAAAGGAAAATAAAAATTAGTAACATCTGTTGAGTGCTAGGTTCTAAGCACAGTTGACTTGGCCTATCAGTTACACATTAATCTTCATAATAACCGTAGGAGAAACCAACTATTATCATCTCCACTTTGCAGATAAGGAAGCTGAGCTCAAAGAAGCTAAATGACTTGTTGGACACCCCCCAGAAGTGGTAGGGCAGCCCCAGGATTGAAATCTGCATAACTCTACATTTTCTATGCTCAATAGAAGCCAAATTCTGATGCCTCTGCCCTACCACCAGCTGGGCATTTGCTTTAGGCTGTGTCCTTGTGGCACTGAAAAGTGTCAGGGAATCACACTCATGACCTGGACCTCATCAGCCACATAGGTATTGCTTAGACAGGTCCAGAAGCCAGGTGCTTCTCCTCCCTTGGCTCAGCCTCTCCATTAGGAAGTCAGACTCTGTGCTCAGAGGGAGGGAGAGCTGGCTGCCACAGCCTTCACCACAGAGTGACAGAAGTAATCTAAAAACTTGGCAGCATCAAAACTTCAGCCATCCCTGCTTCTTAGAGGACACCTCAGGCTTACCTCTGTGTTTCTTACAGTCATGTTTCGCCTCTATGATTCAGATGAGAACGGTCTCCTGGACCAAGCGGTAAGTTCTCTAAATATCCCTCATGGATCTGAGAAAGGCTAGGGGAGCAGGGAGCAAGCACAGAAAGAATCTGAAAATGTCAAGTTCCATCTTTGTAGTAATAGCAATGTCTCGATATAGGCTGAGGAAATCTGAGTAAGACCTCCCCACCTGCTATTTCCAAACAGCCAGCCTTGCAGAGCGTGAACTCCACCTTACCTTTTCACTCTAGAAGCCTGGGATCATAAAATCTCAGGATGGAGGGAGGCTTTAGCATGTCACCTAGCTTAACTTCCTGTTCAGTTCACAAGCTCTCCCTGCAAATTCCTGAAGGAGTCCTGAGGCCAAGAGGAGAGGGTGGGGGAGGCAAGAAGACCAGGGGAAAAGGGCATGAGGAAGGAGGCTGCTGGCTATTGCTGATGTGCTTTGGCATCACCCTTGGCTGCTTCTGCTACTCCAGGGCACTAGCCTAGGAGTCTGGTTCTGTCTGCTCGCATTCCCATCCCGTTGCACCTGAGCAAGCCTGAGTCTGTCCGTGTTCCCATCCCATTGCACCTAAGAAAGCCCGAGACTTAACCCTCACCCCTTCAGGAATATGCAAGGATAGGTCAAGGCTCATAGAGTAAAATGAAGAATGGAAAGAAAAGAAGGCAAACAGAGCCAGATAGGCCCTGTGGTCCTGACTAGCAATGTCAGAGGTAGGCCTCATTAACAGGAAGACCCTGAGGTTGAGATGCATGGGGCTGAGTCAGACCAGAGGGAGGAAAGAAGGGAACAAGTCCTCTAGACCAACTGAATCATCCTAATTCCCTCTAAACCCCAGGGTGCCTCCATGGGACCCCCCACCAGCCACATTGCAATGCTGTGGGTTGGGTCATTGGAAGGAACATCCAGAGAATCACAGATTCTCAAGCATTTGGTAAACACGTATGTACTGGGTGTCCACATTATGTCAGGCACTCTTCTAAGCACTGGGGGTACAGCAGTGTAGCCAACTGACAAAGTTCCATGCCCTCAGGAAACTTTCATTCTAGTCCAAGCACAGACACTAAGCAGCATAGTAAAAACAGTGTCAGGTAGAGACGGGTGCTAAGAAGAATAATAAGGAGAGGAAATGTTGGAAGAAGTTGCAGCTTTAGCGAGGGTCGCCAAGGAAGGCCTCTCTAGAAGGGGGCATCTGAACAGAGGCATGAAGGAGGTGAAGGAATAAGTGAGGGGAAAAGCCTTTCAAGAGGAAGAACAGTGAGTGTGAAAGTCCTGAGGGTGCCTAAGATGTTAGAGGATTCACTCCGGGCCAGTGTGAATGGAGCAGAATGAGTGAACAGATGAGATCAGAGTGAGGAAGTAATAGGGGATGACGTCAGAAAAGTCATGGGATGGGGGTTGGGGAGTGGGGAGTTTGCAAAACATTTTCAACTTCATAGGTGATTAGAAGTGCTTATCTTCGACCAGGCACGGTGGCTCATACCTGTAGTCCCAGCACTTTGGGAGGCCGAGGAGGGTGGATCATGAGGTCAGGAGTTTGAGACCAGCCTGGCCAATGTGGTGAAACCCCCGTCTCTATTAAAAGTACAAACATTAGCAGGGTGTGGTGGTGCACATGTATAGTCCCAGCTACTCAGGAGGCTGAGGCAGGAGAATCGCTTGAACCCAGGAGGTGGAGATTGCAGTGAGCTGAGATGGCACCACTTACTCCAGCCTGGGTGACAGAGCAAGACTCTGTCTCAAAAGAAAAAAAAAAAAGAAGTGATTATTTTTTACTCCAGAAAAATGGAGAACTATTGATGGTTTTGAGCAGAGGAGTGATGTGATTGACTTATGTTTTAACAGAATCACTCTAGGCCGGCGTGGTACCTCATGCCTATAATCCCAGCACTTTGGGAGGCCGAGGCAGGTGGATCACCTGAGGTCAGGAGTTTGAGACCAGCCTAGCCAACATGGCAAAACCCCATCTCTACTAAAAATACAAAATAAATTAGGCAGGTGTGGTGGCGGACACCTGTAGTTTCAGCTATTCAGGAGGCTGAGGTGGGAGAATCGCTTCAACCCGGGAGGCAGAAATTGCCATGAGCCAACATTGCACCACTGCACTCCAGCCTGGGTGACAGAGGAAATGCAAGCAGGGATACTGCTTGGGAGGCCATTGAAATAATCAAGGCATGAAATGGTGGTAGACTTGTGCAGGGTAGAATCGTTGCAGGTGGTAAGAAGTTGTTAAATTCCAGATACATTTTAAAGGTAACATTGGTGGACTGAAGCAAATCTCAAGAGTTATCTGATTCAACTTTTCACCTGGAATCCCTGGCATATGGACTCCCAGTAACAGGGAGGATACCCACGACCTTAAGACAGCCATTCCACTGCTGGGGGTGACTGCTAGAGAGGGCTTCCTTCCTGAACACAGGCACTCCTCTGCCTGCTGGGGAAGTTTTCAACTTAAAACCTGCTTCTGCTCCCCTTCTCCCCCAACCCAGCAGGGAGGCCAAAATAAGTCAATCCTCAACTCCTCCCTTCTCTGTATCCCTCTGCTTTCTTCTGCCCCTGTACCTGATCAGGACAAGTGGAATACCTATCCCATACAATAGGCCTTCAAGTATTTGAAGGTGCTGTCACATCTGCCATAAAATCTTCTCCGAGCTAAAATGTCCCTATTCCTACACTGATTCCCATAAGTCAGGCTTAAATATCCACTTGAACAAGCTCTGGTTTGTCAATGCTATTCTTGAAATGTGGCACAGAACAGAATCCATCCCCAATGACTCTTTAAGTATCCAAACGTGGCCTGACCAGGAAGACCTCAGGGGGGACTTTTTCTTTTTGAAATCTGCCAACTCTGCTTCTATTTACATAGCCCAAGACTCAGTCCAATTCTTGGTTCCTGAATTACATTTTCTCATTAAATCTTGGACCCAACCAGATATACAAGCTCTTTTCTATCGGAACTTCTGCCAAAAATCTCTCCCCATCTTTCTGCCCACTTTCTTACCCTCATCTACTGGCCTATCTTGTAGTTTTGCAATGGATTGTTTTTTAATTTAAATGAAATACAATTTGTTAAAATCCCTGCTGGGTTTTAGCTTGCTGTTTTGACCCAGCATTCTATCTGGCAGAGGTACCTACCACTTTTGAACCTTGCTTCAATCTACCACCACGTCCTCCCAAAACAAACAATCTTACTATGAACATCTTAGCTGGTGCCCAGGTGGGGCTAACTTTAACACTAAATGCCTCTTCAGTCTGGTATGTTTCAGTGGGGCTCTCAGAACACTGACTCATTGGCATCCAACAATTCTGTGAGGTTTTAGATGGAGCCTGGCCTCAGAACCAAAAGGCTCATTCATCAAGTAAACGTATTCCTCATGAGTTTCCTGTCCACGGACTCCTGGGCTAGGGTCTGGACCATGGTAAAAAGGAAACAGAGGAGATACGAAAAGAAATGGAAATCATGGTACCTGAGCTAAGACCAACACAGTAACCCTCCATGCAAGAGAAACTGGCCTCAAGTGGGGAGATGGATCCCAAATTGCTGAAGCTGTGGGGATGAGTGATAAGAAGTGACAGGAGAAACCTGCCTTGGTTTGTAAGTATTTGTGAAAGCTATAATCACAAAGCGGGGTAAAACAGGAGTGCTTTCTATACTTTCCAAGTTAAAGCACAGAATAAGGGAAGGAAGGTGGGTCCAGGAAGAAGTCAGTGCTCATGAGCTTTTCGCATACCTCCAGCTTACGTGTGCTCTGTGCCTCTCGTGAGCTTTGTGGTCAAGATGGAAATAAATTGAGCTCCTCACAAAATGCCAGTTACTGCACCAGCTTCTTCTCTTGCTCTGCCCTGTCTCTCTTCCCACTGGGCTTAACTTTTAGTTTTGCTCTTATGGACACATGTTTGGTTGTCTCCTTTTGATATTTTCTCCCTTTGCTATTTTCTAGGAGATGGATTGCATTGTCAACCAAATGCTGCATATTGCCCAGTACCTGGAGTGGGATCCTATAGAGCTAAGGCCTGTGAGTTTCTGAAAGGACGGGGTGGCTTTGGAGTGAGCTTCCAAGATGTGAGTGGGTCCACGCTCGGGACATGAATGAGTGCTTACTCTGCAGGTGCTCCCAGACTCATCTTCTTTAGGCAGCTTCTTTGGAGTCCTGCACTTTACCTTCCACCTCTCCGACAGGTGAAATGTAGGCAGGAGGAAAACGTGCAGACATAACTGAAATAACAAGGCTAATATTTTCACCAGAGCTAAAATGTTATAACAGAAATTCATCAATCAAAGAATTTAGAGAAAACTGTTGAGATTTCTGTTAGAAAGAATTGTAGAGATTTTCCCCAATCACCAGATAATATGAATTACATGAATAATTCCATTTGGGGGCTTCTATGTGTCATGTATTATATTATTCACTTTACATTCATTTTCTCTAATCCCTGCTACACTGCTGCAAACACAACAATACTGTTTCCATTTCTACAGATAAGCAAACCAGAGACCACAGAGTCAGAGTGACTGGCCCAAGGCCCAAGGCCCAAGGTCAGAACCAGTCCTGGAAGCTCGGCCTCCTCACTCCCAGTCTGCTCTATTCACACTTAACAGGAGGGGAAAGGGTAAAACACAAACCAATAATGCAAGACGAACAAGACAGCAGAGGCAGAAGGGAGGTAGACATGTCGATGACGAAAATGAACAATGGTTGCTCTTTGGATTCCACAGATACTGAAGGAGATGTTGCAAGGGATGGACTACGACCGGGACGGCTTTGTGTCTCTACAGGAATGGGTCCACGGCGGGATGACCACCATCCCGTTGCTGGTCCTCCTGGGGATGGACGACTCTGTAAGTCAACAAGCTGGAGTTCGGGGATCTCTTGCTATTCGGGAACATTGGGATCCATGTCAGTATCAACATATCACTTTGGCTTCTGCTCCACTGCCCAACAGACGTGCCATGTATTCTTGACCAATCCCAAAGTCCTCTCTATTCACATTATTTTGTATCCATTAGTGCCTGAAATATATTCATCTGACAGACATTTACTACATTATTACTACATTAAAAATACTGTTCTGCACACCATGAAGGAACATAGATATGATATCAGCCTGCAAGAACCTTATACTCAACCAGGCAAAGGACACAAAAACTGCCAAGAAGAATTCTGTCTTTTCAACCAATTAGGTTTAAAAAATGATAAGAGGATTGGGAAAGGAAGGGAGAGAGGAAAGAACGAAGGAAGAGAGGAAAAAATACTGGTCTGTTGTTGAGGTGGCTTCCGTGAACGGTATCTTATTTAACAATCAGAACAACCAGATGAGATAAATATTTTTGTCCCAATTTACACAGATGGAAAACTGAGGTTGTGAGCCTAAGGAACAAAAGGAGGAGTGAGGATTTGTCTCTGACACCAAAGACACTGCACTTTGTAACATCCCACACATGAGAGTTAGGCCAGTGGGAAGACCTGAAGGATGTTTGATCTGCCTCTCAAGGATGGGATCAACTTGGGGGATAGAAGTGGAGTTTATGGCTTGGAGAACAGCTTGATCAAAAACACAAATGAAAGAAAGTTCCAGGTGTGTTAGGCAAATCTCCCATTTAATCAGAGTAGGGCACATGTGTAAAGGCTTAATGTGAAACCAGTGGTTATATATACCTTCATCTGACCCAGTTACTGTATTCTCCGCCTACTTACCAAGTGAACTCACTTCCATACATGAGGTAGGGGAGGCTGAAACAAGTAGAAGCACAAATAGTGACATTAAGCATTTACCAGTCACACAGGTTGTGTAACAACACTACTTTGAGATTACAGATCTCAAAAGATTACGCTTCTTTGAGATTCTTCCATAGAGAGGAACAGAGCAGCAAGTGCCTCTAGCTGACTGAGTTGCCTGTAATATCTCCATTTCATAGCTCTTCAATTCAGGACTAAAGCTGAGCCTCCATTTCTAAAATTCAAGAACTAAGAATCTTGCAGTCATTTCTTAGTATGTCCAGTTCTTTCCAAAAGCTAAGGAGAAATCAAGGAATCAGGAACTACATGACCCCCTTTTTGTCCCTTAGAACCCTAGAAAGTCAAGCTGGAAAAGATCTTTGTGGTTCCCTCCCTGGTTGATCCCCTTTGTTTCATAAACTGAGACCCAGAGAGGTAAAGGAACTTGCCCAAGAATACACCGAACTAATACCAGAGGTCATCCCCTTGACTCAGTCACATTACCCCTCTCATCTAATGATCCCTTGCCAGGAAACCGTACGTACCAGAACCCATGTGACCCAGGAACTGGAGGGGCTCAGATAAGTTAGATACACTTTTTGCTGACATTACTGACTCAAGATTATACTCAAATCAAAATGGAAGTTCTGCTTGGATGCTGTTCCAAAACACCAGGTTTTTTCTCATTTAGGAAATAGAGATGGGACATTTTAGTTACAGGGAACCAATTTCCATTTTCTGTTCTAGTTTGAACTTGCTGAGGTTCAAAATACCACCCACTCTTTGAGTGGAAAAGACCCACTGTTTTGTGGCTGGAGAAAGGAGAGCCCATCTGCTTCCTCAGCATAATCCCCAGTGTCTCCCCTAAATGCCAGATTGGCCTTGTAGAAAACTCTCATTGACATCAGGAAAGTGGCCAATGAATGCAAATGCAAGTTTAGTTTTATTAATCAAGAGTTTTATGCTCTCATTTTTAAGTATGTACTTACAAAGTTTTCAACATTGACTATTTGGGGTTTTGGAGAAAGCCCCCATCCATGTCTTAAAAGTCCATTGCTTGTTCAGCTTTTTCAAAACCCGCATACAACCCCTGAAGAGTCTGGGGAAATCACTGAATGAGATGTTTGCAAAACAGACTGTCTCCCAGGGAAATCACAGCAGCAGCATAAAACCTGGCGAGCACAAGGAAGGTAACTCCCACGTGCTGCAGCCACCATCATGTGGAAAGGAAAGAGCCACATGATGGTGCTATAACCCAAGCAGAGGCATCACGTTATCCCAAGTCCCGGTCCACACACTTATATCTATAGAAACAGTCACTGAGAAAGGGGGATCAGCTAACTGACTTAGCTACTAGAGGTGTTTTCAGATACATTGACAGTCCTTTGGGCTACACGAAGATGTCCGCTGAAGAGTTCTGTCATTTTCCTTCTATCCATACAGGAAAACCCTGGCTTGTGAGGTAGACGAGAGGGATGGAAAAAGCACGGACTCTGGCCAGCAAAAGACCCAAGTTTCACTACTCATTCAGTCCCTCATTATCTGTGTGGGCTTGAGCTAGTTACAGAGCTTCTCCAAATCTCTGTTTCTCATTTCTAGAATAGGAATAGTCTACCTCCTTCCATGTCAATAAACATTTTTTAGTTTATTTGTGTCTCCCAGCATCTGGAATGGAGTAAGAACTTAATGAAAGTTTAGATTCACAATGTGTCAGGCATTCAGCTAGAAGCTTTACTTACATGATGTCATTTTATTCTTACAAAAATCCCTTGAGGTAGATGTTGGTGAGATGAGTAAATGAATGAATCCATCTTTTGAGGAAGCATTATCAATCTGTGAATGTATTTACTAAAGTGGAGACCATTAGATAAGAGGGTTTTAATTCTATAAAACTCATGTCCTAGAAGAAGCAGGGTTTGAGGTAATGAGAAGAAAAGAGCTTCTCCGGCCCAGAGGAGGAAGCCAGGATTTGGAAAAGAATCTGAGCTCCTCTGGAGATCATAACAAGCCTGGACACACACTGAGGTCTGGCTGCACTGACCAGCCCAAATGCATACGCACCGCAGAAGTAAGAATTGCATTTGAGTTCGGCATGTTGGACTTTACGTCCATGACCATTGATCCTCATCACCTTACCGTAGTGTTTACTGCTCACAGAACCACCCCAAGAGTGCGATGGAGCCTATGCAGGAGGGAAGTTGCTGAAGCCACAGCCTAAAGCCGTGCTGGGCTCCCCTGGCGTGGGAGGTGGGAGATGTGGTCCAGGGAAGGTGTGTGACTGTGTGAGGCTTGGTGTATCTAGTGGATGGAGATGATTTCACTTCTTAGCAAAGTCAGGAGGCGATGGTTTAATCCTCTCTCTGTCTGTCTTTTTACTATTCCATCTGTGTACAAAAAGTTGATAGGAGGAATTCATTGTTTTTACTAAACTACTTCCTCTTGATTATAACACTAGTACATGCACACTGTAAAAAGTCTGGAACACACAGAAGAAAGTAGAAATGAGAGAATACAGTCAATCCATAGTGCTCTAGTCAACTTCTGTTAACAGGTTAGTGAAACTTCTTCCCGTCGAAGATCTATTATATAAACTGAGATCATAACATATCATCAATTGGCATTCATGATACATTCGCTTAGCATTGTATCATGAGCACATTCCCACGCCACTGGATAGTCTTATAAATATCTTGCTGATTGCCACCTAATATTACATCAGATGATGTACTACAATTAGGCTTTTGGTAATTTTGAGACCTTTAGGATATTTCCAACTTTACATAATTTTAAATAACACTGGATTAAGCATCTGACAGGGCACAAAAATGCTCATCTGCTTTTTAGAAATTATTTCTTTAGAAAGAAGTCTAAGAGGAGAGACTGGTAAGTCAAAGGTTGCAAACACTTAAAGGATCTTTAGATAGCTAGAGGAAGGAAGGAAGGAGGGAGGGAGGGAAGGGAAAAAAAGAAAAAAAGAGAAAGAAGGAAAGAGAAAGAAAAAGAGTAAGGAAAGAAGGAAGGAAGAAAGAAAGGGAGGGAGGGAGAGGAGGGAGGAAGGGAGGGATGGAAGGAAAGAAGAAAGATCAGATTGTTGTTCAGCTTATGCTTCTATGTGGGACAGGGTTAGTTTCATCCTACATATACATACTCCCATTCAGATGTTTCTTGCTTCTAATATTTGCTAATTTTTAAAACACACACAAAGAACTTTGTTTCTATTTGTATTTAAAATGGTTATATATATATATATATATATGAATTACTCATCTTCCAAATATTACAAGAGTCTTATTTAGGAAAAGGAAGAACATGCAGGAGGCCTCCCCTGGCTTCCTCCTTCTCAGGACTGCCAGCTCGGGGTCTCACCTCCTATAACCCCTGCAGGGCTCCAAAGGGGATGGACGGCACGCCTGGACCATGAAGCATTTCAAGAAACCGACCTACTGCAACTTCTGCCATATCATGCTCATGGGCGTTCGCAAGCAAGGCCTGTGCTGCACTTGTGAGTAAACTTCCTTCAAACCTCCTTCCCAGGCACCATCTTGCTCTGCACATAGTTGGTTGATCCACTCCAGGGAAAATGTAGGTATTTCTGCTTTGCAGCTTGAGGGACCACCCATATTTTTCCCACAGCAGGGAATAAAGCAGGGCCTTCATGTCCTGTTTTTACTCTACCCAAGTCCAACAGACAGGTCTTGGAATATTATTGGAGGCTTCTTATGGGCCACTGACCCCCAAGGGAAAATTACTAAAGTCTGCACATAATTTAAAAGCATCTCATACTAATTTTAGTTGGATTTTCCAGTCAATATTTATTTGGGGTATGTTCAGAGGAAACTTTATTTTTTAAAAATAAATAAGCATTTGGGGCCGAGCACAGTGGTTCATACCTGAAATCCCAGCACTTTGGGAGGCGGAGGCAGGCAGATTGCTTGAGGCCAGGAGTTTGAGACTGGCCTGGCCAACATGCAGAAATATTTGTTGGGAAATACCTGTCCCTACTAAAAATACTTAAAAAAGAAGATTAGCTGGGTGTGGTGGCATGCGCCTATAATCCCAGCTACTCAGGAGGCTAAGGTGGGAAGATCACTCGAGCCCAGGAGGCAGAGGTTGCAGTAGCTGAGATTGCACCACTGCACTCCAAAAACAAAAAACAATAGGCTGGGGGCAGTGGCTCACGCCTGTAATCCCAGCACTTTGAAAGGCCGAGGCGGGCAGATCACAAGGTCGAAAGATCCGAGACTATCCTGGCCAACATGGTGAAACCCCATCTCTACTAAAAATACGAAAATTAGCTGGGTGTAGTGGCGCGTGCCTGCAGTCCCAGCTACTTGGAAGGCTGAGGCAGGAGAATTGCTTGAACCCGGG